ATTTTTTTATTAAGATAGAAATCGAAAATTTACATATTTTCACACTTATTTCGGAATAGACTATGGCTTATTTTAATAGACTATGGCTTATTTTAATTCGTTTGTTCTAAAAAAAAATTTGATACTCTAGTTTAATTTTTTAACTTTTATTACAATTTTAATAGTTCAATTCACACACATTATTTCTTAAAAAAAATTGTTAAATTCGACAAACAAACAAGTCTTAAAGTAAGACAAATATAATTGGCAGTGAATGCTTTATTTAAACTAATAAATAATATTAAAAATTAAAGTTTAATAAAAACTGAACGTGTCATTAATTTAAAAAGTGATGACATTTTAAAATCATTTTCATTAATACCATTTTCATCCGGTTCCAATGATATTTTTGTATTATTTGTTGTTATTGCAGTACCATAAAATTTCATATTACGAATATTTAATATTGGTGTATTATTAAAGATACCTTGTAAATTTGATCTTGGTTCTAAAATTGTTATCTCGGAATCAAACCATGAATATGTATTTTTTCGATTTAAACGTCCCACCAATTTAAAACTACTTTCACCTTTTGTATCTGTTAATAATGTTGAATCCATCCACATTTTAAATGTACCATTTTCTAAATTATATTTAATTGTATGCCATTCAGTATTATAGATTTTATCAGATCGATATTCAATTACATAAAATTTTAGATGTTCTTCATCATCATATGCACTACCATATATATTTATAATATTTCTTTTAGCTTTTAATGTTAATGTAAATTGTGATTCAGCATTTGACCATAATTGTATATAAAAATGTGAATAATTTGCTGATGGAAATTTTTTAATACGATATGTCATTTCAAAAGTATGATCCCTTTCTAAACCATCTTCGAAATGTTCAGATATTGATCTACTTGTACTTTGATTAATTTCATAATAAACACCAGGTGTACTATATTTTTTTAGAGTTGATGAAAATTCAATAAGAGGATAATAGATTCCTTGAGAATTTTCCATATTAATATATTTTGTTTCATTTATTTTGAAAAATTGTTCACATATATATTTGTCTTCAGAAGAGAAAAAACTCATACCAGTATGAGATTCAATAGCAACTGCTGTATTATATTCAATTTGATCATGTTTACCATATTTCAGTATAGGATTTATAAAATTTATTAAAAAACTTTCATCATATATTATATTTGTTCTTAAATAACCATCTGAATTCAATTTTAATTCACAATTAATCCATAATTTTAAATAATGTCTACCAATTCTATAAACTAAGTAATTCCATTCACCATCTTTAAAATTAATATTATTATATTTCACTTGAAAACCATGACCTTCACAATTATCATCTAATGTTTGTAATTGAAAGATTACCGTTTGTTCTTTTCTAAAATATTTTAAACATATGAAATTTTTATTTTTAGATTTTAACGAAAATATTTTTATTCCTTCATTGATATCAATTTGACTTGAATTGAATTTTAATCGAAAAGCTACTTTTGCTGTATGAGTTTGAAAACCATCTGAAAATATTTCAAGATCATAATTTTTTGCATCAAGTTCTTCTAATGTTGCTGTAGTATTTTGACCCCAAAATGCCTTAGTACCAACAGATATTTGAATATTATATAAGAATATTATTGAAAATATTAAAAACAAATTCATTTTGTACTAAACTATTTTATAACTTCCAATAGCTAAGTAAGAAATTTCATTACTAAATAATAAAAATAATGAAATGCCTACAATTTAATTACATTTTAAGCAAGTAGAAATTCCAATTTAAAATACAAAATTGATTGAGAATTGTTTTGTATGCGTATATCAGAAAAAAAATTGATAACGCTATTTTTGTAAAATAATTTGAAATATGGGTGTTGTTTGTTTTTATAATATTTCTTTATTAATGATTTTTTTTAAATAAATCAAATTATTTTGCTGTCTGAAGTTAGCACTTAAATAATTATTTTCTCTCTTGTTATTTATAATTTTATAATCGACTAGAGAGCCATTAAATTAGATGCAAAATGTTGATTGCATCAAATCGTAGCAGATTTTGTTCTTTAATGCATTATGTATTTATGTATGTATGTTAAGCTTAAAAATATTATAGAGTTAATCTCCATTACAGCTTTAATTTCTCAAACTATTCTAGGATCACATATAGAAAATCTAATCATACAATACAAATTCTGTTCGTGATTAATCGGTGTCAATTTTAATTATTATTCATTCAGTACTGGGAAATAATTTAATTACACTAGTCATTTTTCATTTGAATTAATATTATTTCGTCATTTTATCGAATTTTTACGATTTTGTGTTCACATTAATACGTATGTATATAGGCACGTTAGTACGCGGATCAGCTATATTGTTTGGTGCTATTTTAAAGAAAGTTATACAGCCATACTCTGCGTTATTTTGAGTGTAAAATATTTTTCGCTATTATAATACTTATTTTCGTAAACTCTTGGAAATTAAATCAAATTTTTGAATACAATTAAGTGATATAAAAAAATTTTATATTTTTGAGTATTTATTTAAATATTTGAGAGTTAGAAATTCCAAGATATTTATTTGAAATTACTTGAAAACTATTTCAAATGAATTGAAAAAATTTCAAAATTTTACAAATTTTTTGGTAAATGAAAAAAAAACGATTTAACCCTTAAGCCACTAAACCAAAACAATTTCGTTAATTAAAACATAGTTATATTCATAGAATAAAATTAGCTATATTCATAGCTAATTCTTGGTCGCTTCTAATTTTGATCTTTCATTTTACAATCAAAGAATATTTATTTGATTATTCAATGAGAAATTTATTCGCATAACAATGAATTAAAGAAATTTTTATATAATTATGTACATAATACTGTTATATAATCTGTATTAAACAAATGAACAAATAAATTTATAATATATTTATGTATAACATTGTACAGGGTACGTCACATATATTTTGATTGTCAAATATTCATCATTTGGGTCAAACATTTTAAATTGAAACTGTTTATAAGATTATTGACCTTAAAGTCGGAAAAAATTTAGACAAATTGCTACTAAAATTAATAACGGTTAAGCAATGAGTATCAATAAGCACAACTAATCAAACCTATGCGACTGATCGAATTCATTCATTTAATATTTTGCAACTCTTCATTTATTTCTTGTAGTATAACAGATTAAGATTTTTGAAAATAACATAATGCTATTTGCAATTTCCTAAGTTCTAACGTTTTGCACAATCACAAAGTTGGGAATATTGTGAATTTTATTTCTGATGTGTGTAGCTACTTATAATTTACATGACCTGCCGAAACGGAAATACTTTGTACGTTCGTTTGAAAAATAGTTTTAATTTATTATCACAATATAGAAGCAAATTTCAATAAAAATATAAAATATTTTTATAAGCCAATGGGTTTTAAAATATGTATGTGCAAAGAGATGGAATAAGTGCTTCTTCTAAATTTTTTTTGTTCAAAAATATTTTTCATAGTTTAACCATTTCAAAGGAATACAAAAAAAAAATCATTAATACCTTAGAACAATTATTTGTTTACCGCAACGAAAAAAAAATCTTAAATTGGATCTAGTATAAAAATAGTACGAAAGAAAAATTCTTGTGAAGTCAAAGGGAAACATATTTTTATTGATCCGATAAGAGTTCCATATAGGGAAACCCTTTGAAAATGTAAAAGAATATTTTCTCTTTAGATTATTAAAAATGTTTTGAAGTGGAAGAAGGTACTTAAAAAATTTAAATTAATTCTAAAACATGAAAAAAACATGACTTTTTAGCCGATTTAAAATTTTTTTTTTTAAGAAGTCTATATTTTTTTTGACAGATGGGGTGTGATAGAATATAGTTTTTAAATATAATTATTTTATGATTTATTTTTATCGTTATTTTTCATAGTACATGTAAATTGTCCTGACAGTTATGATACGTTTGTGTAACTTGGAGACTTAACTTTTTATATGTTAAGTACATATTGTTTATATAATATTTCCGTCTATGGACGCTTATTATTTGCATAATTCCAAATTAAAAATTTAAACAGAAAAATTCCAAATTTTCTTTTATTTGGCTTTATATAAATATGGATTATTACTACATTCCAGGTGGTACATTCCAAGAATCCTATTTGAGACGTTTTTACACATTTCAGTCGGAATAACCAGAGTATAATTACAAATAATTGTAAATGTATACGGGACGTTCCCCGTAGCGTCGTAAAAAAAAAGTTATGGGCGTCAAAATGCATTACTTATTGTAAAAACAGAACCACTTAACTGGAATTTATTCTATTTCACCGGCAGCGATTAAATTCGCGGTGGTAATTTCGTTTAATTCGGGGCAGTTCCATTTAAATGTGTGTATTCTACATGAATTCTGATATTTCGCCGCGGAAAATCATTCTTGTTCTGTTTTCAACTTCAGTTAATCATTTAACAATTGATATCCTATCCAAGAGGAAATAAATTTCGGCATTGGTCAGTTTTTTTCGAAAACCAATTCTAAGACCTGATTTCAATTTCTTGCACGAGCTTTTGTACGCCAGAGGGTCAAGATCCTGGCAGTTTAAAAATGGAAGATTTCCACAGATAAGAAGGAATTCAGCTGAATTTTAAGGGAGCTATATTTTTATTTACAAAATGCACATATATACGTGTATGTTTCCCTTCTATAGAAGTTCAAAAATTTAAAAAGATTTTTACTTGAATTTATTTGAAAATATTTGAATAAAATTAACAAAACACTTTCGATTTTTAGTTTTCATTGTTTAAAATATTCGTGTTACATTTAACATCTTTTTAACAGAAACAATAGTGATTTTTTTTAAACTACGAGTATCTACTACATATTTACAAAAAAGCTGTGATTTTTATTTTCTTTATTAAATACGATTATTCTACTTTACCATATTGTACATACAATTTGTTGCACTTTCAGTATACAACGACTTCTAAACACGAGTAAAACCATGTAAACTTTATTACACCAAAAGATAAATTGATGTCGTAAATTGGATTTTGCGGTAAAATGCAAAGCATAACAGTAACAGCAAAAGTGTTTATGAAAATACAATAAAAGCAAATACTTGCAAAAAAAATTTAGTTGTTCTGCTTAACATAGGTTAAAGTGAAGTTCGAAGATAGATGATAGTTTAAGAATATTAACTCTTTAAAATATTAAATTATTGGTAAAGCAGGTGCAGTCAGTTGTTAATACAACATTATCTTTTTAAAGAAGTAACGATCTACAGAAATTCTTTAAGAATTCTACGAAATCCTTTTTTCTTTATGTTAGAAAGGAATAGAAAAATTTATTATACCAGACCTACCAATTTTACAGGGAAACAAGTAATTTTGTAGTAGCATAAGATCTTATATTTCACACTGATTTAATATACTGTGAGTAATAAATTATGTTATAGAAATTTGTTGCATGCAAGATTAATATCAAGTAATATTATGAAGTAATAAAAATTTTTCCTCTTTTGATCTAAAGCTTGTTTAATACACTTAAAATGAACTTTTTATTAGCTTCCACTTTACGTAATTTAATTTGAAAATTTATTTTCACATAATTGAAGCTAAAACATTTGTTACAGTAGTGGTAATAAGTTTTTATTCTTCACAAAAATTACAAAATGGTGCAGTTATAAAAAGTTGCACTTAATTCAGTTTTGTCTTTTAACAATATTTAAAAATAATAATTTATTTATTTTATTATAGTGGAAAAAACTACAACGGCAGAACGGGCCAACACCTTAACATGAAATGATTTCGAAAAAAAAAAAGGGGATTCTTTTCATCGATTGTTTCGAAAAAGAGACGGCTGAATGGCTTATGAGGCAGTAACTTTTACTATGGGAGGAATGTTAACCAAGCCACAACTAAAGTTTGAGCTTAGTCAATGTTTCCAAGATATTTAGAAGACAAATAAAAAGATTAGCTGTTCGAGATGTGTAGGCAGTATATGATTGTAGGTGGGTATGTCTTACTTAGAACCGGCATCTTAGTAATGAAATATATTACATTTATTCTATTTTCAGAAATCATAGCGAAGGACTTATCATGTGGTATTAACACAGAAACAAGAAATCTATATAGTGCAGAGTCCGCGTCATAGCCCTTGGGGAAGTAGGCAACACCAGTTTCAAAGTGAAATGTTAATAAAAGAATTTTTAGTTAAAGAAAACCTAGATATACATAATGTAGGAAATTTCTATACGGTTGTGACTATGGTTAGAGAAGATGTGGTGATTTCCTTGTAGAGAAATGTGGTGCAGTAGAGCATAATGTAAGCAATAATAAAGTAAAAGCAAAAAAACCAAATGAAAATGAAATTGAATTTTACTGAAATTTCAATTACACAATTGAAATAGTTTTGTACTAATTTCCAAGCTCATGTCCGCTCGTTATTCTTATAAATGCGTTTTTTTTTTCAAATTTCTTGTAAGCATAATAGTATTGATTTTATTATAGAAGTAATTAAAGTAAAACCCAAGAAAAGCATAAGAGGTTATTTTTCATTAAAATCCATTTTAATAATGCATACCTACCTCAACATTCCAAAATACATTCCGATCGATTCCCGGATATTTTATATTACCATATATCCCGAATTTTTACTTATTTTTAAAAATATTAATAAAATAAGATTGACGTCAGGGTATTGAAAAAGCATTATGATTTGTTGTTGGAAATTTCTAAAATATTTGTGTACCATAGTATGTATGTACATACATAATATTATTCATAATTGTGAATATACTGTATTATTATAATTATTGTTATTTCTTTCTATTCACTACTTATTACATTACTCTCAACCGATATTGAAATCCTATAATAATAATATTTCAATTGTGCTTAAGAATAATTTTATTATATAATAAAAAAATAAGTTATTAAAAATAATTATTTTATTCTTGAATATCCTCTATAATAATTGTATAATTTCTTGAATATTTTAATTTTGATTTCAAAATAAATTAAAGTTCTCTATATAATAAAAATTTTTGATTAATTTCAATATAATTTTAATTATTGCTTATATCCAATTATTTAATTTTTCTTTGTTACTTTTAAGTTTATGTTCTTATCAATTAATTAATTTATTAAAATTAATTAATTATATTTTAATATTTGAATTTTTTTTGAATTTTAATATTGCCATTATATTGAAAATACTATAACTACTTAAATTTTTTGATTTCCAATTTAACTTTCTACATTTACAACATCAATCAATTGTTTTTCAAAATCATTACATATATACATACAAATGTACACTGAAATTAACTTGGATTCATATTAATAACTTTTAATACCGACTATTCTCACCTAACTTTTTATTTGAAACAAAAGCATTTTTCTATTGATTTATTTTTCTAATGCTTTATAGAATTTTGACTTTTTGTGTTTATATGCTCGTTCATATTTTACAATATCGTATATATATTATGTGTTTGTCTATATAACATGTATAACAGTTTTGTTATGTACACGATGTGTATTGTACACTCATTTGGGAAATCAATTTCATCAAAGTAAATCATATTGAATCTGAATTGAAATTAAAGGTAAATATGGAAAATTCATGAAAATTTTTATAAAATCGAAATGTGAAAGAACAAAAAAAGAATAAAAAATTGTAATTATTTTTAACTGTTGTTATACTTTACAGATATTACAAAATTGGATATTGATAGTAAGAATTTTATAAATGTCGGTATTAGCAAACGAATATTGTCGGATTCTTCGTACATTGTACAACTAATTGAAGTATAAATAGGTATAAAGTGATTGAGGTGTAGCATTTTTAATAAACAGATTTAGATTTGAAAATTTCAATTATTTGAAGCACTATTGCATTTATTACAAAATTAATTGTTAATAAAATAAGAGTGTAATGTTTTATTTTAACTTTATTTCAGTAATTTGAAACTTATTAATTAAAATTCTTGGCAAGTTTTTTCTAGTAGAATTGTGTAGTGTACTTACTCTTACATCAAGTTATTTGGAAAATTTAATTTTTATTTTTATTGCGTAACTGTTCTTTTATCATAATACGAGTTTCATTCCAAGGCCGAAAAATAAAAATTAAATTACGCATTTAAACCTGTATCGCTTTTAATCTGAAGTTTTATAAATTTAATCCGTATATACCTAATAATATTGTGCAGTTTTCTTTTAGTGAACTGCGTAGAGAATTTTTATATATAAACAATAAACACTTTATTATTATTGAAAAATGTCTTTTCTATACATTTCATTCTAATTATAATGAATAATGACAAAAAATGCGGACAATTCTGTTTTTTGGGTCTTCATTTTCCAAAAAAAAAATTTAATTTTTTTTCCAAATAAATAAAATTTTCAAGTCTTTGAATTTCTTTGCAATCAAAATTCCTATAACGATATGCAAATTAGAAAAACAAAAAACGAAATATTTGAATATTTTTGTTCTTATTCTTTTTACCAATGAATAGGTTTGCATACAATAAAGAAGGTATTGTGATGGCATCAAATTTTTCAAAGGTTAAATTTTAAGAGGCAATGCATTTTTATTGAATGAAACGTTTCGTATAAGTATGCCAGTTACGGTGTAATATTCTTATTTTTAATTATGAAACTGATATAGAACTGATGAAATTTTGATGAGTATTGAAACTTCTTTGTCCTTTTTTTGATAGGACAGTGCATATAATTTTGAATAATTCGGTTTCTTCTTTATACCAATGCAATTTATCTACCTTTCGAAATATATTTCGAAAAATTGACAGTTTTTGTTGCGAATATGTCGGCCAGATAAGAATTCTTCTTTTTCACAATAACATACATACATACGCATAAATTGTTTTCTTATTTCTTTTCCCTTTTTTTTTGTTTGCCAATTTTTTTGTGTTAGGCTCTATTTTACATCCTTGTTATTGTCACATGAGAAAATACAAAAAATAATAAAAAAAATATATTATGATATTATCAGGAGAATAAATATCGTTTTATGAATTTTTAATATTGATGAATCTTTTAATATATACACAAAAAAAATTGGAAAACACAAATCTCAGTTTTGCTTTCCTCATACTTAATTTTTAATATTCTTTAAAATTATTTTTTGATTTATACTTTTTGCATATTGTGCTTCATATGTTTATTGTGACCAATATTAAGAATTGCTATTGGGTAGGTATTAAAAATTTATCGCCCATATTATTATGGCAATATTATTGAAACATTTCTTATTCCTGTATTGAATTCGCTTCGAATAGTTTGAATGATTTCAAAATTTCAATGTGTAATTTGTGCTTTTAAGTACCCTTGCAAAAACTCCTCTTTTGAAATTTATGGCGAAACGATTGAATTCCTTTATTAACAATTATAGGAAAACCGCAAATTAATGTAGAAAGAAAAAAACTTATTTCAAACTTAGAAAATTAGGTTCAATCGAACTCATGCAGGTGAAAAATTAAATTAGCCCACATAAAATAACTCTTCGGTTAAATAAAAAAATTTTCAAGAGTTATAAACAAGTTATTACAGTTGTTTTTATTAATTTTTTTTACATAAAACAAAATAAGCTCCTTGCATTACCTTACAGTTGGTCTGATCAATCAGTATGCTTATTCTTCTTTCAAATAATTCAATCTTTTTAGATATACTCCTTTTTTTCAATTTTTGAGAAAAATTATCCTTTTCAATTTAATATTGAGAAATAAATGAATATATTATGTTGTATGTTATGCATATATATACCTATATATATATATATATATATATTATATAGATAATATACACATATAAGTAATAATAATGACAATAACTGTGAAATTTTTTATGACATATTAATAGACACTTACAATTATTATATATACATACATATACATTCATATTATATATATCAAAATTCATATTGTATAATAGAATTAGAAGAAAAGGATATCGAATTGTCAATGAAATTCAAAAATAATGTTTCTTCTATTTGAATATTACCATTAAAGAATAATATAATAATAAGTAAAGTACACGTGCAAAATATAATATTATATGGATTATACTGGGTCGTTGGTGGAATTTGTATATTATGTATGTCTGTAACTTATGTATACCAATAAGGAAAAGGGGTAGATACCATATTGTAATATAGCAATATTTTTGGTGTGAGAGCTATATTATACGTAATAACTTGAAATGAATAATGGCTATTCAATTCTGACCCAAAAATTATATAGAATAGAAAAAATATTTAAAATTTTTTTTTTTTTTTTTCAAAAGAATTTTTATTATTTTAATATGAAAAAATATTTTATGTAGTGTTATGTAGTGTGAATATAAGTGAGAGTGCAATGTACGTGAAAATATGTATGAAAAGAAATAGAAAATTAATTGGAAGAAAATAATATGAAAGAATCTTTTGTTTTTTTTTTCTTTTCATAATTTACTAACTATGTGATATTATATAAGAAGATGAAAAGACATCTCTAAGTTTTTATTGTTCTTTCGGATATTAAAACAAGAACAAATAAAACGAGAAAAATATTATTTTTTTTATCCATTTATCAATTTTGACAGGAATAAGCAATTTATTTTAATTTTAAGCTTTAAATGTTGTAAACTAACATTATAGTTTTATTAGACCTGTGTATATACATATTAACATTGAATGTATGTGTGTCAGTACGAATTTACTATGCTAAGGGTATTGTATGTAACCATATACGGGTGTTGTATATGCTATTATAAATTAAAAAAATTTCTTATTAAAAAGTTATGAATTGAATTCTAGCATATAAAATTTTATCAAACTGTTCTATTGATAAAATTTGCTTGCACACTTAGATGGAAAATTTAATAACTGAATAATAACTGAATAATAAAATTAATTTTATTGTTTGTACCATAGAGGTTTGCTTTCCCAAAAATTTCTCATAAAAAAATGGATTATTGCCAGGGGTAGGGGTAAATAAAAATTAGTAATTAGTTATAATACTCGAATTAGATTTAAAAACCAAATAAACTTTAAAAAATTTAAATAAGGTGAAAATCCTAGAGATTAATCCTTGATTATAAGGACATTTAAGGAGCTCTTTGTATAAATTTGAATAAATTAAGTTAAAAAAATAAGTTAAAATTGCTCGGAATTGTCAAATTACTTTGCCTTTCTTCGCTAGTTCTCGTTATTTCTTAATTTCTAATTTTCGTACATATAATGTACGATTTTATGCTAGAATACCAATAAATTAACCTTCAAATTTTATTAAGATAATTTGTAAATTTTTTATATACTTTTCTGTTGGAATGATGTTCCCTTGATTAAGATATTAATCTATATATGAAATTAATCTTGTAAAATTTGTATGTATCTTTAAAAGAAATTTTTAATTTATTCAAATGGTACTTTAAAAGTGTTTTCTTTCATACATTATTAAATAACGATTATATAGCTT